AGTTGAAAGGAGAATGCAAGTATATGAGGTTATCTGGTTCTTTTAATCTCCAGGTATTACCAGCTACATGCGTGGTCAGATTGGCCCAAGCTCCAAGGAAATGTCTTCACTTAAAGCCATTACAGACTTCATGAAAGAAAGAGATGAATTAGTTGTTGTAGGATTCTTTAAAGATGAAAACGACAAGCTGCTGGAAAAATACCTGGAAGCCAATGATGACATCAGAGACAATTATCCCTTTGCACACACCTTTGATGCTACAGCTAAGAAGCACTTTGGCATCACCAAGAGCTCTATTGTGTTGTTCCATCCTGAAAAGTTCAGGTCAAAGTTTGAAGATAAACAAATTGTGTTTAAGGTAAGGGAAATATAGGTGGCATAAGTGTGTGCACATTCATATCCAGAACTGAAATTAGCAAACTTTTGGGTAAAAACACCTGAGCTATGAAAGATTAATTTTGAACTAACTGGTCAACTCTTGTGACATTATTTGGAACCTTCTGCAGCGCAAGGTTTTCTCCTTTACAAGTTTTCTATGAGTTCACGAATAGTCAATGAGGCATAGTCTAGTTGACTGTTGCTCATAGAAAACAAAGGTAAGTAGTCTTATCGTTCTGGTAGACACTAGAATTACAGCCCAAACCTACAACTTTGTGTATTTTTAAGGCTAAAATTAAGAACAACTTTAGTTCAAGAGCAGTGTGGGCACAATTGTTATTTATCAGCAAATATAAAACAAGAAAAGAACCAATCAAATTCGCAGATTTCCAGTAGAACACGGCTGAGTGGCTACTAATCAGTGTTAGTAGAATTCTTCTAGTGTACTAATGCAAATGCTGCAATCTGATTGGCTGAGCTACTTGTATATTATCAGTCATTAGGGTGCAGTGGCTGTCGGTAGTCTATGAAATACGATAGTTTTATCGCTTTTCTAAAGTTTTGGAAGAAAGTTGATATGTAAATGCATAATTAAATTTCTGCGAAGGCTAAAAGAAGAACATTAAATAATTGTTTCTTGACATTAAAAACTTGAAATTATTGAAAAAACAGGAGCGCGCGCGTAAACAGCTGCAAATTTTACCAAGGACAATTCAATACGTGCGATTTTGTTGAAGCGTAAAGTTCAATAATACGTAGAAGAATAATTGGAAACCGTTATTTGCGTTGATTTCAGTTAGAATTCCACTTAAACTATTAGATTATTCGCTCTCAATTTTTATGAGGCGATAGTTGATTCGGCCTTTGGCCTCATCAACTATCACCTCGTAGAAATCTCGAGCTCATAATCTAATTGTTAATTATTGTATGTTAATTTTATTAACAGGGTGAAGATCCCAAACCCGAGGACATTCAGAAATTTTATGAGGACAACCGTATTCCGCTGGTTGGTGAAATGGACTCTCATGACCAACAAAAGAAGTACACCAAACGGCCTCTGTGCATTGTCTATTACGACGTGGATTTCGGTTTTG